GCACCTCATAACTCTAAGCTAGGAAGTTGTCTGGGTTCTGACCACGATTTAGGCTGGATTCTAAAATATTCAGCATTTTTATCGATGGCCTTGAAGAATGCAGAGCATCATCACTGATAAACCTCACAGATGACACAAGGCCTGAGGGAAGGGTAAATAATTAAATGGGATAGAGCACTGGTACAGGGTGACCTGGTCATTTGGAAGCTGGGGGCAAGCAAACATATGTGTCAATAGGGTCATCAATGAGCACGTTCATTTAAGAGCACAGAGTGGAGGCTATACTTGCATGGCAGAAGACTTTATCCTGGGAAAAATGAAAAGGACAAATGAGTCATGGTGGATTTCCAGCTGCCAAGATGTGGCTGTGGCCAAAAAAAACCCCATGTTCCTGCAGCCGTGGGTGTATAAACAGAGAAATCACAAGGAGGACAGGAGTTATATCAGCTCTGGAGTTGCCACTGGCTGCTGACATACTGTGTCTAGTTTTGACATGTTGGCAAAGCAGAGATGAACCTGGAAAGGGGCATGAAAATCACTGTGCAATGAGAAAACCTTTTTCAGGGAAACATATCAAAGAAGGTTAGCCAGTATAGTATATTGAAAAGAGAGCTAAGGAGTTACAAGATCATAAAACACAAGTAATGACAATAGGGAACAAAAAATCAGTAATAATTTTTCATGGCAAAACTATCAGAATTTTAAGCTAGAAAATGTTTAAAGAAAAAACACACATGCTAAACAACTCTGTATTGTAAACTATGGAATAAGAAGACTTGCAATCACTATAAATCATAGCGAATAATCTAACACTGGCAAGCCTACAGTTTTTGTTTGTTTGTTTGTTTGTTTGTTTCCCTAAATGATCTAATCTTGTAAAATTGAGAGTCATTTCCGGAAAATTCAGTCAGTCATTGCTACTCCCATTATTGAATTAGACTACATTGGCCTCTTCTTACTCATCATCCGCCCTGATCAGTGATATGTGCAGCTGCTTAAAAACAACCATAGGAAAGAGAGTTGCATGTCCATTTAATTTAATTTAAAATGCTCTCAACTAATTTCACCTGTTTTTTTGTTTGTTTGTTTGTTTTTGTTTTTTTTCTGGAAGAAAACCACTTCATATAATAAGGGTAACCCAATAAAAACATTACAAACGAATGTTCACTGCTAACACCGATATTTTGCCATTTTCTTTTCACACCTCCTCAATCTGCTTCAGCAGAACCTCTGCTAGATCAGATCAGCTACACAATAGGATTATTCCAGAAGATTTTCAAAGTAAAAGTTTGCTTTAGAAACTGCGGTAGTTCACACATGAAAGCACAACGTGAATAATGCTGATGGCTACAGATTAAAAGCTGTTCCTGCCTTGTGCAGATCTGTAGTTTCTTAGACAGCAGACCTGTATCGTGTCTTGTACCTCCAGCAAGTGTTCCTGCACTGACAGTTTTACAGCGGTGTTGCAAACAAGCCAACAAAAACCTCCTGTGTTGTGAAAGAAAATCTTCACACAGAATTTGTGGTGTTTTAGCTCTTGCACACAAAGGAAATAAGTAAACACTCAGAGGAGGAGGCATTATCTGTATTAAATGGAGTTGGTAATGGATGAGAAATCAAAAAGACTTCTTCAAATACCACATTCACTTCTTGAGTTACTGATTCAGACCTGAAAAAGGTGCTTGAAAGATTGCCTATTTCTTTCAGTATTACTAGCTTGTTTACTACAAGATATTGCTTTTCCCAACAGATTGTCTTTAATAAAAATGGCAGTTTTAATTTTCGTGTTTTAGGCACAATCTATGAACATTTCACACAGACAATGCAGCAGAAATCCCATGGATTCCCCTCAAACCTTTATATAGAGTCACCCTGGTTTTATTTTTGCCTTCTGTATTTTTTTTATCTTTGGCACAGAAGACTGTGGGCAAAGCAAATCCTACCCTAATTACATTTTTCACAGAAAGAAGACCTTCCAGATGTGCTTCTTCCAAATACGACAAATAGCACAGGTTCTCTGTAAAGATACCCACTCAATCTCCAGGTCAGGGGTCTCCAAACTTTTTTGATCGTGGACACCAATTAGTGAAAGATTTTTGAGCATGCACCTCCATTATATGTACATTTATTTATAAATCAATTACACTTACTACTGTACTAACATATGCACATCATAAAACAAACACAAAAATAGAAATTAAAAAAGGAGGAGAAAAAGAGGAAAGAAATAAACACTTTTTCAAAAATAGTTTTATTTACTAATTGCACCAAAAATATTTTCTTCCCGCATCCCACCGTTGAAGACCATTTCCTCTAGGTAGGAAACTACTTCAGCCCATCCTGGTGCACTTCTCGGCACCCACGATTTTACTTGAATCAGTTCCACCCTCTCCTCTTCATTTTGGGATGAAACTTCTGTTATTTGGCATTCATCTGGTTTCCTCTGAGCTTGCCTTCACCACAGTTGTAGCACAGTAGGACAGTTTCAGCCAATATTTTTTTATTTGGTCTGCAAATCTCTATTCCTTACAGAAGGTTTTTGAAGTACAATCATTTAGAAACTACTACACTTTCCTTCATGGCCAAATGAAGCTCTGTTCCTTCTCAGCATTTATCATCATTAATAATTTACTGATGCACACTAATTTCATCTAAATGCCTGTGCTTATATAAAAGCACATGTACAAGTTAGAATAAAACACTTAACCTGGCAGTAAAACAGATCAAGAAAAAAAAAAAACACCCACCTTGCTACCAGAAATGCTTCAATTGTAGAGATCTGTAAGGGGTGGTGGTGAAAGAAATTAAATCAACAAATTAAATCAACACCCCACATACTTCCTGTACAGATAGTTTTGCTGCATATCTTTTACTCATTTTGCCATAACATTATAAGGCCACCATAGCACGTGTCAACAAGCTTTACCCAACTGAGAACAATAATGTTAAATGTTTTCCCTCGCTACTGTCAGAAAAGCTGCTGAGGCTTTACCAGAGTGTGATCATGTTTTGAGCTGTACCTGCCAGACCGAGCAGCTGCCTGCCGTTCAGTGACTGCAGTATTTCCTATTAGGCAGGTTTAAGGAACGGCACAAACACCGACACGACTGCACTACACAAGTGCATTTTTAAAAAAACAGGGCCATCAGAGAAGCAGAAGCGCTGAAGTGGCTCTGACCACACGCACGGCCACAACAACAGCATCTGTCGCGTGTGGTCACAAGAGCTTCAGGTTCACTCTCAGGTTCAAAACAACTCAGGCACCTGGTGGCCGCGCGTTTCACATTGCCTCAAGAGCACTGTGGCAAGGGCTGGAGAGGACGGGTACCCCGGGTGGAAGGAAATACGCTGCAGCCAAGCCAGTGGCTGCTGCTGCAGCAGAGCCTTTTGTCCAGGAAAAGGACTGACACCTACCTGGGGAGGTCCGGGAGGAGGAGGAGGGTGCTGTAAGATGTCTAGGAGGGTGGTGAGGAGGGGTGGAGGTTGTCCTCCTGGTGACAACTCTCATGGCATCTCTGGGTCTTAGCACGTCATGCTTTCTAGGGTTATCTGCACAGCAGCGTTGTGAGGGGCATTTCTGTGTGCTGAGTGTTTTTGAGAGCTCTCCTTCAGGGAAATGAGCTCTGGAAGATGCAGATCCTGTGCGAAGATAAGCCCTAAGCAAATCAATACCACATTAAAAAAAGACAAGGCTTACAGACCACCTGCAAACACACCTGCTGCTGCTTCACTGAGACAACTACAGACAGCTTCATCATTTACGAGAACACATCATAGCATTTTTGCAAGTCCTCTGTCCTCTCTGACGCATTCACAAAGTACAGAGCTCACCCCAGAGAGCAGAACTGATCCCTGCTGGAAAAGGTTTACTATCCAATTTTTTGTTTTGCTATGTAAGGCTATTAAATTGCACGGAGACAACAAGGTGAGGCAGCACAAGCACAAGAGGGCATGGGTATATGCTTACCTCATGGTTCTGTTAAGCTTCTTTAAAAGTTACTTGCCTTTTTGTGTACTTTGGGATGAAGAGAGGGAGGGAGGGAATTTCAAGGAGTATCTCGTGATGTGAGATGGAGGGAGAGAAGGCTGTGCCTGATTTATAAAGCTTGTGAGAGAGGAGTTCAGTAGTGCCCCATGGAAAGGAAGGCTGTCATGTATAACGGGCTCCTTATTAATCATCAAAATATCTGCAGTGGACAGCGATGGATCTAATACCCCTAGATCCATCAGTCTAATAGCAGCTGTCTGCCTGTCCAGGCTCCTGCCACACTGGAGAGCACAACCTCAGCACCTCTGAGTGAGCCTGAGGGCATCCAGAGTGCCCTGGAGGGGATTAATTTGCTGCCTGTACAATGCAGAGTTTCTCTCTGCTTGTGGAGACAGACGTACGTGGTCCTGACCTACCTGGCTGAAACTGGAGAGCTTTCCAGGAACGATTTGCTCAAAGCTTTGAGAAGCCCCAGGACACGCCGGGGCTGTGAACATGCAGGTGGGAGGGGAAGGGGAAGACGAACTGATCTGCAGAAGAGAGGAAGGATGATGAAGAACAATAGTAGAGGTTGTTTCAAGTTAGTACACACTGACAAAGACGTAGTAACATCGGTACCTCAAAAAGTGAGAATTTTCACTTGATTTATGCAACACCACGAGAGCTGACTGTACGGTTAAGCTACAGCTGGAGCCGTGCATGAAACTGCGAACAAATGACGGAGGAAATTAGGGCTCTTTAGGAAAAGTGGGCAGCATATCTAAGAATGGCTCAAAGGGATGGAGGCTTCGGGGTCAGGAGGAGAAGGACCACGCCACCATTCTGGGGACCGGGAGTGCGGCCTACAAGGAAGCTGGTGCAGGGATGGGAACACCAAGTGAGGGTTCGGACCCTAAACATTTTAAATGTTTTTTGCCTAAGCATACCACATGAGAGAATTACTCTCAACAGAAAACAGCAATCATAAACAAAGAAAGTACAAAAGCCTCCAAGCTGCAGAAGAGCTGAGCTTGCCCCAAAAGGCAACTTATGCAAAAAAAAAAAAACAACAAAACTTGACGAAAGAGAGAACGTGGCACCTGAATTCACCACTCTTTACAATCTTTAACCTCTGCAAACCAGTAATATCCTGTCCTAAAAAAAAAATAAAAAGTTCAGAATCTTGAAAACAACCTTCCACCCCCCAAAACAAAAGCAATACACAAACCTCCTTCACCTCTACAGGCAAACATAAAATGAAGATAAAATCAGTAAAACTAAACCTGATTTTTTTTTTTTTTAAAAAAAAGCTGCAGCTCTTTATTCATAGGACAGGGTTTTGACTAATCAGAGACGCTCGCCGCTTGTACGTTTCCTACACGATTGGCTAAAAGTGTAAGAATTACCCCCCCCAAAACCACTTTTCTCCTCCTCCTTCCCCCTCTCCTCCCCCCTTATCGTGAACATGTTTTTAAAGCAGGCCTCGAGGGGAAGGGTAGGGGGAACTCGGAGCCTTCCTCAGTGCCAGGATGAGGACGGCCTGGCCAGAAATGGACCTCAGCCAGCTGTCGCCTGTGACTATGGTCACTTTGAACTACGACGACTACTTCTACGAGGACAACTGCCAGTACAAGCATCTGCAGCACATGACTACTTTCCTCCCCATCCTGTACACCATCGTGTTCCTGGTGGGCATCGTCGGCAACTCCATCCTGATAGCGGCCTTGGTCTTCAAGCGCCGGGTCCAGAGGCTGATCGACATCTTCATCATCAACCTCGCCGCCTCTGACTTCATCTTCCTCATCACGCTGCCCTTCTGGGTGGACAAGGAGGTGTCGGACGGGAGCTGGAGGGTAGGATCCTTCCTTTGTAAAGCCAGTTCTTTTATCATCTCCGTCAACATGTACTGCAGCATCCTCCTCCTCACTTGCATGAGTGCGGACCGCTACCTTGCCATCATGTACCCCGCTGTCGCCAGAAGGATCAGGACTAGATCCTATTCCACCGGCCTCTGCATCTGCGTCTGGTTGTTATCCTGCTGCCTGGGGATCCCGACCCTGCTGTCCCGGGAACTGAAGGAGCGCTACGGCAAGACGTACTGCGCAGACAAAGCCGTGACAGAATCCAAACAGATTGTGTCGCTGATGATGTTGATCCTGGCTTTCTTCTTCCCGCTGCTGAGCATCCTGACCTTTTACTGCTCCATCACCAGGAGGCTCTGCATGCATTACCAGAGGTCCGGGAAACACGACAAGAAACTGAGAAAATCCATCAAGATCGTCTTCATCGTAGTGGCTGCTTTTGTCATCTCCTGGGTGCCCTTCAACCTCTTCAAGCTCATGGCCATCCTGTTGGGACTGCGGAAGCTGCCCGACTGTTTTCCTGACGTGGTGGCCGAGGTGGGCATGCAGGTGAGCAGCCCCTTTGCCTTCGCCAACAGCTGTGCCAACCCTTTCATCTACTACTGCTTTGACAACTACATCCGCAGGGCCATGCTCAGGTGCCTGTGCCCGTGGGTGAAAGTCAGCAGCAGTGGCAGCGTCTCTGACACGTTGGACACCCGCCTGAGCCACTCCTTATCCAATTTCATCGCGGGGGAGTACGCTGCTAGGAAGAGGAAGCGCTCGGTGTCCCTCTGACTGGGAGCCAGGACCACAGAGGAAGGGACCTCTCTCTCCAGAGACGGCAGGAAGAGACTAAAGCAAGGAAAGGGGAAAAAAGGAAACGAGCAACAGAGGCAGAGCTGCAGCTGTAGTGCAGCCTGCACGTCAGGCTGGAGGCGCAGCACTTCCCTTTAAAGACAGGTAAATGGAATAGGAAACCTTAACCACTGGTTCACGGTGAGTGCTGTATCCCTGCGCCGTGCAAGCCTGAAAACGCTGCCCTGAGAGAGATCCACGGAGCCTTCCCAACACATGCAAGGGGGAGGCCGATCAGTCGGAGCCACCCCGAGGCAGGCTTTGAACTGAAATGAGGGTTTTTGTTCTGCTCGGAGCAAGAAAAACACAAGGATTGCTTCTCTTTGGTTCCTAGCCTACACACGAAAGCATCGCAACGTCCTGGAAACAACCTGATCGATGCTACTTTTCTGGAGGTTTTCTGGGTTTAGAAATGCAATGTTTTACTGAATTGCTGTTACCTGCTGTCATAACTTCAGCCTTGTGTGTTTTCCTTAAAAGTGTCAGCTTCTTGATTATGGGATTAAATCTCAGTTTTAATCACAGTAATTAAGATAAGTTTCTAGCCCCTATGATTTCAGAAAAAAAAAAAAAAAAAGGTTGAAGGCAGAGAAACCAGAAGACAAGCCAATGAGACTCCGCATTTAACATTTTTTCTTAAAAACAAACAAGTAAAAAAAAAAACACAATAACAACCCAACCACAAAGACCAAAAAAAAAAACCCAAAACAAAACAACACCTTCACAGCTTTTAAGATGTTTTTTGGGGATCTGACACAATTTCTGATTGCTTGGGTTGCTGTATAACAGTAGGACGCTGTGCACCATTCGAAGTCCTGGTTTGCTGAGTTTAGCTGGGACCAGTTTATGTCAAGATACAAGCAAAGTCAAATGCAAATGTGCCTCAAAAGCAAAATTATCCAGTTTCACAAACGTTTGAGTGAAACAGAGAATGCTGAGGAACCTTGGGTGCAGGAATGCTCACAGAAAAGGAATTCAAAAGCCTCACTCTGTTAGTTCATTGATACGAGTTAAATTCTGTACATAAATAGTAACAATAATAATAAAAGCTCTATGAAGCTGTTCCATTCCTACTTAGCGGTCTCTGGGAAATGCAGATGTCTTGCATTTTATATATTGCGGAGGAGATACCACTTGCCCAACTGCTGTCAAGTCTGACAGCAAATGGGATGGGGAAATAGAGAAGCTCCTCGTTGTTAACAGCTGTAACACCTCGTAGAAGAACAAGCTGAACAAATACGGAGTGAAGCAGCTCATCAGAAATCTGGTAATGGACTTCTCTTTCTAAATGCCAGTGACAGAAACCTTTTCTTAAAACAAAGGGTACAATGTTTTAAAGTGCACAGCTAAAATATGAATTGGACTTCCAACAGCACTGATACCTTGGCTGTGTTGCGATGTCTCATGTTCTGTCGTCTCCCCTGTAAAATGTTTAGCTTAACATGCTGCTGCTTGTCATAAATCCAATAAATCAATACCTTAAAGCACCTTGGGTGTGTAATGTGACTGAGTCAAAAGACTGTTAGAAACTTTCCTTCTGTATTTCCTGATTTTTCGAGATTTCTATCTTTCTCCTCTTTGACACTTAGCCTTTGAAGTTTTTGAACTAGCTTTCGCAAAACCCGCAAACGTGTTGACTTTAGAGGCAGAAGACATCTGATCACAAAGTGATTAAGCAACATATATGGAAACAAATCTTGAACTGCAATAACTAAAAGATATGTAATGATATTTACAGCCCTGTAAGTAAGGCATTTTCACTTCTGCCAGCTGAAACCAACAAGTCAGCAAGTATACATCTTTGGCTCTACTTTTTAAAAAGTAAAATAAGGTGGTGACAACTTCCATGAGATGCTACACAGGGAACCCCTTCCCACTTCACTGGGGGCAGAGTTTAAAGCTAAGCTATACAAGTTTAGTTCTGTGATCATTCCCTTCTTGTAGGGATGGGAATGAGCTTTGCCAGGGCAGGAATGAGCTGGCCAACAGACCAGTGCCATCACTGACCCGAGCAGCTCAGGCACAGCTCCTTCACGAACAAGGGTCTGCATCCATAGTCCTGAGATCCTTTTGAGTGTTAGAGAAGAGACTTTTCCATTTCATTGAAGCTGAGTTGTTTTCTAGGTAATGAGGCACAGAAGATTGTTCCTAGAGTAACACAGATGTTTTGTAAATGTGTGGAAAATAACTTTTATTCTAATTAAAGAGGGCGATTAATAAAAAGAGCAATCGTCTCTGACCTAGGAAGAAGACAGAAGAACTTGCAGGGTGAACGGTGGCACCCGTGCAGACGGGCTGCAAGGCTTCAAAGAGAAGACAGCTATACCACAGCAGCCAACACAATTCATCAAAACCAGAGAGAGACGGGCAAAGCCCTGAGCACTGTCTGGTCGCAAGGGAAAAAAATGTGCAAACTGGGTGATGGAGGAGGTACGTTTCTGATGCAACTGCAGCACAACTGCATTCATTACAGCTTTTCCCTTGCCTTGCCTTTCCTCTGTATTCTCTAAACATCTGTAGTAGGGATAACTATTTTGAGTGTTATGAATAAATTCTGGTATTTGCATTTTTTCTTGAGACTTGCAGCAGAGCTGCTTAATGAAGGCAGAGACACGAAAGCAAACCTCACCCTATGGCAGCACAAGCCCATCAACCAAGGCATAGACCCCCACCCTGCTAGGGTAAGTGCAGGCAAAAGCATCTTCTAGCCATCCACAGGTGGCTGGGATGAGATGAGGGGATCATCAAAGAGATGCTGCGATGTGTGCCTGGGTCGCAAGGGAGTACCTGAGCCACACACCAGCTTTTCACGCTCCCCTCCCTTCACTGCATGCTTTTTTTTTTTTTTCTCCCCCACTACCTCTTCTAAAAGGTTTTGTTTTTCTTCCTCCACGTGAGAAACTTTACTCCCCACACCTAACTGCCACCCGCCTGCTTCAGGCTTACAGATGGCACGCAGAACGACGACTGCGTTTTCAGACCTTCCTGTGTCTGGAAATCAGAGTGCTGCAGTTCAAATTTCAGTCTTGTTTGCAGTGACTTTCAAAAACGACTGTCTCAATTGTCTCCTCTCGCCAACCCTTTACCCTCTGTCTACTTTTATTAGTATCTAACAAGTGGCTTATTTTTTAGTTGAAAAAGAAAAGAAATCTCTGATTTACGTTCCAAATAACCTGAGATCTCTATTACTGAAAAAAAATATCACATCTTGTTTTAAAGAGCATTTTCTTAGTGAGTCAGACTCACTTATTATTTCCCTCAGCCTCAATCCCATCCAAAGCAGAACAATCTCTTTGGAATAGAATAAATCTACAGGAATTTCACTTATTTTAAGTTAGTGCTGCTGCTTTCATTTGGTTTTGCTTCAAAATACCAGACCAAGTTGGACCTAGAAAATCTACCAGGATCTCCTTCCACTACCTAACCTTTCACACTAGCCCCTGGAAAAAATAATAATAATAATAATAAAGCAACAAATTTGCTAAATATTTCAAGGCTTGAAGAGAATCACATGCAATGCCACAGTGAATGTTTCACACGAGGGAAAAAACCTACAAAGGAGGTAATTATTTCAACAAAGCAAAACTCTCAGGATTATTTTAGGCTTTCATCCAAAAGACCATACCCTATGAAGGTGCTGATTTTATTTTTGCGAACTGCAGATCTGTTTTAGAACGTAAACCTTACTTTCAGTTAGTTCTTATAAGCGAAAGACAACAGAAGTAAGTTGAACAAACTTCTGGAATTTTGACTACTTCATGTTAATATTCATTATTTGTTTGATAGCACTAATACTGCTTAGGATGGTACCACAATTATCGTGATTTCAAGTAATTAACCTGGTAGTTTTGAGTAAGGTAACAGCCTGCCTATTTTATCCTTGTTAAAGAGCTTGTTGACTCCAGAGTGCTTTGCTGTGTGACATGGAAGAGGTGCGATTCTGACATGACACCTACTACGGATCTTGGTAAGCAATCTGGACTTCTTTTTAATAAATCGGAGATGATTCCAGCTATGAAACGTGGGGTTTGTTTGTTTGTTTGTTTTCAATCTAACTTCTCCTTTCATTGTCATGGAAATGTAGCACGGTATTACTAACTAGAAAGCTGTCCGCAGCTCTGGGTGGGAACGTGTATCTGCCCATCTCACAGAGCTTTTCATGATTTCAGAGATATTTTTGTTCTCGATTTGGAATGAAATCGAGACCTCTGAGGTTTTCATGAAAACAACTATAAATAATAATAAAAAAAACAATCTAGAGGTTAGTGCTCTTTCCTGAGGTGTACACAATTGAAGGTCAAGTGCCTCTGCTTCTTGACGTAAGTCAGACCCGGTCAGATGCATCTCTTGGTCTCCGTTTTGGCTTCAACGAATCAACATTTTCCAGAAATAAAGTGTTTCATCTCAACACAAAGGAAAACTATACCCAGAATCGATGCTTACTTAACTGAGCAAGGAATTTACGCAGCCTTCATCTCAGCACCAGATGTACCAATGTGGACAGCTGCACAAAGACACTGCCATGCTACATCCAGTAAAATCTGTTGATTGCTGCACAGGAACAGTAAGAGAAAATAGAGAAATAAAAGAAATAGGAGAAAATAAGGTTTCTTTTACAGGTGCTAGTAAAGCATATATTATAAGTGGATGCCAGCTCACGAGTGGGGACACTTATGTGCACTTTTAGCAGTTATATACTGCTGGAATATCAATTTGCTGTTCTTGTATAATCACTTACATTCATGAGTCAGTAGAGACTCGTGAGCAGATCTGCAAGCAGTGAACACAAATCATTGCGTGCTCCAAAATTTCTAACTGAAAAACAATTTTGGTTCTTCTCATGTTTAAAAGGCTCCCAGTTAAGGAACATTATTTGAGGTAAAAGCCTGGCAAAGGAAGAACAGGAAGAAGTTAAAGCAAATGGCTTGAAGACGCTCCTACAATGGGAAACACACCCACACAGACTGGTTACCAAATACACCAGCATTTTGCATGCAGTCAGAGAAACTGAGATTGGATGATGAACAGGAACAAGGGAAGAACTCCCTAAATTCCTGCCCAGTGGAAATACGCACTGACAATGCATTAAAATGGACTCGAAAGTAATTACTATGCTACCTAATGTCACACACACAGGTAGCCCTAGGAAACCAGAAGCAGCCCACATTACCTCACGTAACATTTTAATTCTATACCACAAAACCTGCAGTTAGTGCGCTCGAGGTTTCAGTAACAACCCAAGCACCTGCTCAGTTTCCAGATGTGGGTCTTCAGCGCCCTGCTGGAGTCCCACTGCACGTGACAGGAGGTTCTGGAGAGCCCACTAAAGGAACTGAGTTCCCACACGATGCTCAGTAAAGTCCAGAGAGAATCTGGCCCCAAACACCTAGGCATGTAAGACAGGAGTTCATAATAAAGTACAAGAACGTGAAATACGGGGGATGAGAAAGTGAAGAGGATTCATCACTCAGAAGGAAAGCCCTACAAAGGCCACGCTGGTAGGGTTGTTATTTATTTTAAATACGAATTGAATTTCAGGTCTTATTTTCCCAACTCACCGCTCCTGTGTTTCTGTAACAGATAAATGCAGCTTTAGAAATAGGGGTCACGTGTTGTGTTTGAGAGCACGCAACATTATCAGTATCAATCATCTAAATAATGCATTGTAACCAAAATACATCTTTTCAAACTTCAAAACAGTTTCTTTCTTAGTAAGAGATTCATATTCTTAGTCAGAAGCTCCCACTAAGTCCAGTCAGTGAACTTACTTCCTCTACTGTTTACTTTTCACATTTTCTAAAGCACTTGGGGTTTTACCACAGGCATCCCTACAACAGAAGAGAAGAGACCAGTGGTTCTCTGGAAATTTGGACTGCGTTTTGCTGCTTTGGGTACTGGGGTGGGGCATGGGGGAGGCAAGGCAGGAATCTGTGCTGAAAGAAAACGCTTCCCACGAAGTGACTGGTGACTTCTGAGGCTTTCATTTGTGGATGTCTAGCTTCAGACCCTTTGCAAAGCACTGATTTCCAGAAAGGGCTGAGTACTCAGTTTCTAAACAGCTGGTTCTTCCAAAATAAATCAATTAGATAATCACACAGAATAACTGGATGCGTCCAACAGTCGCTAGTCAAGTCCGTAAGTAACCCACCTTTGTCCCAAAATTTGATGGTCTTTCTCTGTTTGTAGATAAAACTAGCTACTATTAATACAAAATGACAGCTGCCACCTGAAGGATGCCCTTTGTTTTACCCTGAGTTTGAGGCAAAGAAAACCAGAGCAAGCACGAAACTGCGTGACACTCTGCTCTGAGCACGAAACTTGGACGGCGGTTTTAAAAGCCATACAGATTTTCAGTCTAGCTTCAAAACCAGCGGGCAAAATGACCAGAAGGACAGACCTAAAATGCGAAGAAGAGTTTTTCCACTGAAGAGCACCACGTATAAATCGATATATTTGCCATATACAGTCGCACGCACCTGACTTGACC